AAAAAAAACCGGATTTTTCCAATATATAATATTATAATATTGAACTTTGCTTGCCTTTAAGCGATATACTCCCCATGTACAGAGAATTAAAAATAAACCATTAAATAGAATTATTTTGCCATAATGCATTATTGAGACATTAAATCTGACTGGCTACAATTCCTTATCTTTTTGTCGGGCACAATCAGCACAAACCGGCCACATGCGAACAGTCGCAACATCTTGAACGTTCGAGATAAGAAACTTGAAAGCATCGCTTTGGGTATATACTAGTGTAGCTTGTTCCACAAAATACAAAGTACACAATTATGGAATTATTAAATATTTTCAAAAAATCCGTGTAAACAAAAACGTACCCAAAATTTTATGTGCACGTACATAACATATGTATGCTATGATTATTCGAGACCAAGTATTAGATAGACAGCGAATTTGAAATCTTGTCTAAAGCGGTTCGTTAGTGGGTCTGTGTGCACTTAGAATGAGGTCCCGATAAGAATACTAATAAGTACCGAATTGATAAGAGATGCTTCAGTCTTTTGCTTAAGCATATGCAAAATTCGTGGGTCAATTGCTTTTTTTTTTAGAATGGTATAATGCATAAACTACGACAATAGGAAAAAACAAGAGGCAAGGACTTTCGTCTATCGCATCGCATACTGCATGTGTTATCAAAACGAAGTTTTAATGAAAGATCCATGGCAACAGTACTCATGATTGGCTAGACGTATAAAGTCCAAAATGTAGTTTTATTATTATTATTTTTTTTTAAAGACAAAAGCCAATGTTGTCTTCTAGTCTGGTTAAAAATAATTTAATATTTATTGTCATAATGCGCTATAATAAAATGTAAGCATGCTTGATTGGAGTGTTCAGTGGGAACATGCCAATAACACGTGATAATACGAGTATTAATGGATATTGAATTTATGGAAATGAATGGTGAGTCAGGAAGGAACAACAGTTTTTAGTCTTGAATTGGGTAGAAATGAGCTATTACAATATTACAGAAATTTTTATGGAATATTTATGTATTTATCGGAAAAACAAAATCTATGGAACAAGTCTATAATAGTATCTGGGTTAAATAAATTTTATTATAGAAAATATGCTGTTATTATTTATATAATATAATATTATTATATACATTAAAATAAAAATACATCATATTAATTATATGTTAAAAGAAAAAAGAGAGGGATTATAAACTTTAGACTCCTTACAATCTAAATTTAGTTTTGCCTATTTTTATTTTTCAATAAAAAATATTATTAAGGAATAAGCTATGAATGGTCTACATGGTCTACAACAAAAGAGCAAATTTACAGCACTAAAAATGAAAGAATATTAAAAAAAATTATTAATATTCGAATGTCAACCACTACCCCCTCCTCATAATCACCGTCTATCGGTGGCATATCTATGCTTTCTTGCTTAGATAAACCTGAACCTCTAGAAAATATATCGCACTTATTTTCTTTAGAAAATATCTGGAGAGTCTTAACCCAATGTATAAGAACAATGAGAATAATCTTTTAGTATAGTAAAAGGTTAGTAAGTCAAGGACAACTACAATTCTTTGTTTTTAAACTTGTGTTTAAACAATTTAAAACTATTCTATTATCTACTTGTCAGATATTTCACTAGATTCCGTAGTCCACCTCAGACATTCTACGTAATAATGTACTTTCTTCTGGGTTCATTCAAAAACTAATATTCATAGCTCTCCAGTTTCTGTGCTTTCTTATGGCGAAGTAAGTAATATTCTTACTCCATATTACTTTATTATAGTACTCGTTCTATAGAGAATACTATTAATACTACTTGTTTAATTATATAAATTCTAAGCATTCACACCATAATATAGATTTTCATCTCATTTTGGAATTGATTGTATTGATCTGTAATATTTTGACTTGAAGTATTATAGAACTTATATTGCATCCACTGAAATTCTCTCGCCATTCTTTGAAATATAGTTTCAATATATTAAAATTTTATCAGAAGTTTAAATCATTTCCAATTATTACAAAAAACAAAACCTTTTTTATAATTCTACCAGTTCTTAGCAAACATATCAGCATAAAACCTTCCCACCGAAATCCCACAAGCCTTATACAGGCTGGTGGGACTTTGGTGGGAAGGTTTTATGCTGATATGCTTTCTAAGAATAAAGTATCAAACAAAAAAGAAAGAGCCGAAGATAGATGTAAAAAACGAAGCAGCGACTTTTGGGAGATTAAAGGGTAAGGGTAATGCAATAACTCCCTGTTTTATAGCTGTTAGATTATATTTAAAAGTGTGTGCTAAATATTTTTTTCTACTCAGAACATATTTTATTGTTTAAGCGTGTTCCATATATTATATGGTCGAACTTTAATGGAAGTAAGCCTTATCTCATTAGGCGTCTTTATTCTTCGCTACTTAAGTTTGGTGCTACACATATGTTATGGTCTAACGGCCACTAGAGTTGAGGTAAGCTATATACATATCACTAATAGGGTACTTGAGTAGTTCAACAACAATTATGTTTTATTGCAAAAAAAAAATTCGATATACAATTGTGATTATTTCAAATCAATGAATTAAAATTTGATAACACTGATACTAGATTAGTATTCCAAGAATTTAAATTGCACTTTAAAAAATCGGGGTCAAAAGTTCTACAGTTGACGTTGGTAGTAAACAAAATCTTATGATAAAAGTCGATATTACTGAGTGTAAGTTTATTATTATTTTTCTATCAAATAAAAAAAAAAA